TGGTAGCTATGTTGCGCACTGACCACCAGGGGGCAGACGCTCAATGCAGGAGTTGCCCCCTGGTGGTCAGTGCGCTCCCACATGGGGAGTGCAGCTCAGCTGTCCACCAGTCACTGGACTCACAGCTGGCGAGAGCACCTGCAGGTGGCACAAGCCTCTCCTGCAGACACTCCCCCACACGCCTCTCCCCCATCCAGACTGGGAGCAGGACAGACATTTGGACTGACTGGGCGTGAGCCTGCAGACACTTCTCGGTCATAGGTGTGCCAGTATCGCCCTAGGACGGGTGTGCAGAGACTGCAACGGAGGGGCAGCAGGTGTGCAGAGATGGCAGTGAGCCTACCAAGTGATAGTGGCAGCGGGAGCCGAAGGAGCATGGCACCTGGGCTCAGGCTCCTCCTTGGCCACCTGTCACTTCACGTACTACTTATATCCCTCTGGGGATGTTGGACTGCTGGTTTTGGCCCAATCCCTGCAGGACACACTGAGGGACCCCACCAGTGCAAGAATCTGCACCAGGCCTCTAGTTTAGTAATGTGCATGTAAGCTTCCTCCATATATTTTCATTGCTTGATAGCACATCTCTTTTTAGTGCTTAATAACATTCCACTGTCTTTACATGCCAGTTTTCCATTAACCTACTGAAGGACATCTTGATTGCTTTCAAGTGTTGGCAATTATGAATAAAGTTGCTAAAATCATTCATGTGCAGGTGTTTGGGTGGATGTGAGTTTTCATCTACTTTGGGGAAATAGTAAGGAATGTTTTTGCTGGACCATATGGTAAGAATATGTTAAGTTTTTGTAAGAAACTGCCAAACCATCTTCCAATGCGCTGTACCATTTTTTATTCCCACCAGCAATGTGAGAGTGATTGTCGCTCCACATCCTCACCAGTGTTAGGTGTTATCAACATTCCAGATTTTGGCCAATCAGTGAGTAGTACTGGTATATCGTTGTTTTAATTTGCACTTCCATGATGACATGATGTGGAGCATCTTTTCATATGCTTACTTGCTATCTGTATATCTTCTTTGGAAGGCATCTAAAGGTCTTTGGCCCATTTTTTAATGTGATTGTTTTCTTACTGAATTTTAAACATTCTTTGTATATATAGGATAATGATCCTTTATCAGATGTGCCTTGAAGCTATTTTTCCCTGTCTGTGGCTTGCCTTGAGAGCAGAAGTTTTTAGCTTTAATAAACTGTAGCTTATTTCTTTCATGGATTATATCTTTGTGTATCTAACAAAAAAAGCTTCACCTTACCTAAGGTCATCTAGGTGTTCTCCTATGTTACCTTCTAGGAGCTTCATAGTTTTGCATTTGCATTGAACTCTAAAATCCATTTTGAGTTAATTTTTGTGAAAGATTTAAGGTTTGAGTACGGATATATTTTTTGCCTGTTTCTTTCACCATTTGTCACAAGGAGATTCTTTGCTTCACTGCGTTGCCTTTGTCAACGATCAGTTGACTATATTTATGGTGTTCTATTTATTGCTCTACAGATCTGTCTATTTTGCTGAAACTACACTATCTTGATTACTATAGCTTTATAGTAAGTCTTGATGTGAGGTAGCATCAGTTCTTCAACTTTGTTCTCCAATGTTATGTTTGCTCTTCTGGGACTTATGCCTCTTCATATAAACTTTACAGTCAGATTGTTGCTATACATAAAATAACTTGGGATTTATTTATTTTTTGTTCATACTTACCCAAGGATATTTTGTTCATTGATTTTTAGAGTGAGTGTAAGGGAAGGAGAGAGAAAAACATTGATGTGAGAGAGACACATCGACTGGTTACCTCCCACACGCACCTGACTGCGGCCTGGGATCCAACCTGCAACCTAGGTACCTGCCCTTGAGTGGGAATCAAACCCATCACCCTTCAATGTGCAGGCCAGATCTTTAACTGGAAGCCACACCAGCCAGGGCTAATTTAGGATTTTGATTGGGATTGCATTGAATCTATAGATCAATTTGGGAAGAACTGACATCTTGACAATATTGAGTCTTCCTATCCATGAATGTAGAATATCTCTCCTTTTATTTGGTTCTTTTATTTCATTCATCAGAGTTTTTTCCGTTTCCTCATATAGGTTTTGACAAATTTTGTTAAGACACCTACGTATTTTATTGGGGGGGGGTGCTAATATAAATGGTATTATGTTTATAATATCAAATTCCACTTGTTGGTGTATAGCAGTGGTCAGCAAACTGTGGCTCGTGAGCCACATGTGGCTCTTTGGCCCCTTGAGTGTGGCTCTTCCACAAAATACCACATGCAGGTGCGCATGTACAGTGCAATTGAAACTTGATGGCCCATGCGCAAAAGTCGGTCTTCTGTGGAAGAGCCACATTCAAGGGGCCAAAGAGCCGCATGTGGCTTGCGAGCTGCAGTTTCCCGACCACTGGTCTATAGGAAAGCAATTGACTGCATATCAACCTTGTATCCTGCAACCTTGCTCTAATCACTTAGTTTCAGTTTTTATGTCCATTCTTTTGATCATGTCATTGGTGAACAAAGACAGCTTTATCTTCCCAATGTGTACACCTTTTATTTCCTTGCTTTGACTTTTTTAAAAAATATATATTTTATTGATTTTTTACAGAGAGGAAGGGAGAGAGATAGAGAGTTAGAAACATCGATGAGAGAGGAACATCAATCAGCTGCCTCCTGCACATCTCCCACTGGGGATGTGCCCGCAACCCAGGTACATGCCCTTGACCGGAATCGAACCTGGGACCTTTCAGTCCGCAAGCCGACGCTCTATCCACTGAGCCAAACCAGTTTCGGCTGCTTTGACTTTTTGCATTAGCAGGGACTCCTTGAAAACAAGTAGTGGATTTGGTTCTTTTTAAAATTCAACTTTTAATTCTGAGATCATTGTAGATTCACATGCAGTTGTAAGAAATAATACATAGAAATCCCATGTACCCTTACCTAGTTATCCTCAATGGTAACTTAGAAACTATAGCGAAATACTATATCTGGGATGTAGGAAATGATACAATTAAGATGCAGAACATTCTATCACCACAGGGCTCCTTCACGTGGCCCTCCTATAGTCAGGGAAGTACCAGCCCTGCAGGGGAGGGCAGTTGGGGGCAATCAGGCGAGCAGGGGAGCAGTTAGGTGTCAATCAGGCTGGCAGGGGAGTAGTTAGGGGGTGATCAGGCTGGCAGGCAGAAGCAGTTAGGGGCAGTCAGGCAGGCGAGCAGTTAGGAGCCAGCAGTCCTGGCTTGTGAGAGGGATGTCCTACTGCCCATTTAGGCCCAATCCCAATCGGGCCTAAACGGGCAGTTGGACATCCCTCAAGGGGTCCCAGATTGGAGAGGGTGCAGGCTGGGCTGAGGGATACCCTCTAACCCCCACCCTGTGCACGAATTTCATGCACCGGGCCTCTAATTTCAAATAACAGATCTAACAAGCACTAGGACTGTAGGAAATTTACTTAATTTTCTGTGGTTCAATTTCTTTAAGCCTAAATGGCAGGGGATGATCATGGGGGATAACTTAAGGTTTGAAGCCTGCACCTGCATAGAAATTTCTAAATCCATCCAGCTAGTTAAAACAAGTCCTATCTTTGGTTTGTGACAACATGGATGGACCTAGAGATACTAAGCTTTCCAGGAGTCTTCCATTAAGTTGATGAGGGTCTGGTAATTGCAGTAGGAACTGCTCAGAGTTCTTAGTCATTATCAGCTGTGGCTGTTTTAGAACCAGCTATGGTGAACAAGCTAGATAGGAGCTGCTGCAGGTGGAAAGTTTTTCTTTTAGAGTCCGTATGTGTTTCAATGTCCTTTTTCACTGAAGATTGTACTTATAAGATTTATCCGTGTTGATACTTGTAGGGGATGAAGAAGAGACATCACGGATGACACCCAAATTTTGGTGTACAGCAACTGAGTGAATGGTCCGGAAAGGCGAGGAAGAGAACAGCTCTGAAGTGGGAGTGGAGATAGTGACTTGTGGGCAGTGGGACATCGCAGAGGAAGTTGTAAATTACATTTAACTTACCCTCCCTCCCCCTTTAAGGTGCTTCTCAAGCAGCCTCACTAAAACAAACACCGAAGTGAGCCCATTATCTACACGGTGGCCACCAAATTCTCTGCACGTGAAAAGGGGTCCCTGTAGTAGGCCAACAACATAGTCAGGCTTAGTGACGATCCTCCCGGTGGCCCGCAGCTAGCGTAACCCTAGTCGCCTGCCCCTCCATTAATGGGGTCCTTCGGGATCCAGCCTCACACGTCCTCCACCAGCTTCGGTGGCCTCCACTACCGGCCTGATCCATTCATCCGGCTTCTTGCAAGACCCGACTCAAACTCCGGGTTTTCGGCTTCTAGCCACGCAGGTTGCGAGCTGGGACCAGCGCGGGAGGAAACTCTCAGCTGCCCGGCGAAATTCTCAGTCTTGTGCCAAC